TAGATTTTGAAATAATCCTAAGAACATTTTACATCAAAATTATATACCATGATAAAATTTGAAGGCGCACCTTACCTCTACAGCTACAGATGCATCCGTATGCCAACTGCACCCAAAATAAAATACCTCTACAGCTACAGATGCATCCGTATGCCAACTGCACCCAAAATAAAATAGAGAGAACGAAAAGAGATAAATTAAAGAAAGAAAGAAAATAAAGAGAGAAGAGAAGAGGAGAGAGACAATAGATGGAGTACCTAAGCTCGAAGGAGGACTTGAGCCAGGTGGCTAGGTGCACCTTTGAATGCTCTTGAAGGTAGGCTCGAACTTTAGGATGGGAGGCTAAGGTCTAGATTTGGGTGGGAGTGTGTCTAGGTAGGTTTAAGTTAAGTAGACTAGGCTAGGGTGTATGGGAGATGACCATATGTTTAAGTGAGTATGATGTACCGAATGGTGACCATGTGCTTAAATGAGTATGGTGTATGTAATGATGACTGCGGGCTTAAGTGAATATGGTACATGGAATACTGAAGGGAAGGGTGTATATGTATGTATGGTGTATGGGTGGGAGTGGTGTAGAAAGTTGGTGTGATGTATGGTAACCTAGGGGTTAGAGAGTATGTTGTATGGGAGACGGGTATGGGTAAAGTATCCTTTCTCCCATCTTTTAAGGGTAAGGGATTTTCTACCAAACTCAAAAGAATATTTTTTATCCCTCAATTTCCCTCACTTTATTCAATTTTTGCCAAAATACCCATTCCCACGATGCAAGAACTAACGAATTGGTCCCCTTTGTCGAAGGCCTAAGCTATAGGTACCATTTGGGGCAATTTGAGGGCTTTTTGCTGGCCGTTCGGACAATCTGTCGCCGTAGAAATGACACTCGATTTGTTGAGATCTTTTTGATATCCATTTTGACACCTAAAGCATACTTTTTAATGGTAATAAAATTTGCAGCCACTTTCAAGAATATAGAAACTTTCGATTCTTCGTGTAGACCAATACGTCATGTTTTATGTAAATTTCTTTATCACAACTTGAATAGGATTGCATCACGGTTATTTTGTGATAAAAATCATCAAAATTGATGCTCATTTGAACTTGTTCCCAATTCGAAAAGTCAACAGCAAAATGAGATTTCGGCAACCAAAAAACTTATCATTTTTATCTTTAAATTGTACTCAATCTGATCCTTCATCTTGCTTGAATTTTACCTCATATTGTTCGTCTTCATCCCGATCCGATGTCGGGATCTCAACATGTTCCCACTTGATCAAACACTATTTTATCTTTTCAAACCGTTCAATTTCGAGCCAAACTTCTCTCCACAAATCCTCTTCATCTGCGTCGTCGAGACGAAACTTGCCTTGAAACTTAAGCTCGATTGGGTCCAGGATGAAGGAGATATGACAATACAAAAATCAATCTCGAGCTTACAAGTAGTTGTTTGGTCCCCTGTAGCGTCACCAGAATAGTGTAAAACCTACCTATTTTGAGTAAGTTGGGCCTAGGCGTCTAGAAATATCCGAATGGGCTCAAATTTGGTATACATGGATTTTCGGACCTTTCAGATCTAATGGTCTGATCATCATTTGAAACCCAAAAAATGGGGGACGTAGTTATCGGGTATTTTTCGGATCTAATGGTCTGATCATCATCTGAAACCCTGAAAATGTAGATATAGTTATGAGGTATTTTTCGGGGCAATAAGAGCTGAATTTTCGAATCGGATCTCGATCAGACATATCTCAAACTTGTTAGATCAGGGTGAAATTTTACAATGATCCTTAATGTGCCGCAAGCCATCATCCTACAAAATTTGGGATTATTCTGTCATTTTGTAAAAATGACTTTATTTAATGAGAGCTTCCGTAGTCCACCGACATTTTTTATATGTTTTATAGCAGTGGGACCAGGTCGTGATTCACTCTTTCTTTATTTATGACGGGGCTAAGTCCGTCAAAAATACCCTGTAACTGCTACATCTCTCACTACCACCTCAAAGATGTCTTTGTCAAATCAAACCCATAGACATAGAACGTACAGACATCGCAAGCCGGCTAGGTAGAGCTTTAGCATTTCTTTCTCTACATCGCTATCCATGTAAACAACCATAATCCCCCTAGGAATTGCTTCTTTGTAAAAAAAAAGAAAAAAGTTTATAGAAAGATGAGGCACTGAGCAATCAAATTAAAGGCGCACCTTATCCTGAAATATATTATTTTAGTGAATAACCACAATACACCTAAATTTATTTTGATCAATATTTTTATTAAAAAAAATTATTATTTTTATTCAATTCTACTTATAAAACTAAGATAAATACCAAAATTCATATTAATATTATTTTTCAATAAAATTTAAAAATAAAATACAAATTTTGATTTAACGTTTAATTTGAACCATTAAGGTCTCCTTTTGTCTTGGTCATCTATGGAACACAAAAAGTGATTATTCTCTCGTGCCCCTCTATTTAACCCCATTATTCACACTCTCTCCTGCCCGACTCTCTCTCTGGATTAATATGATACGTGGATTATGATTTGTGCTGTTTAGTTGCTTTAATTTTCCTAATTAGTTTGCTTAGATGGTTTCATAATCATTTTTCTGTATATTCGATGAATTTCACAGTTGAGCATTTGCTATTGGCCAGCTTGGGTTACTTATAATTCTCTAAGGTAGCTTTGGATTGGGATTTTCTAGAGTGGTTGGTTAGGACTTAGATTTAGGAAAGGAAAAAGTTTAGGGATTGTATTCAATGAGACTATTTATCTTTGATACAAAGCAGTCATAACTACTTCCAGCCATCCGATGTGAAACCTCATAGCTTGGATATGTCATAAAATTCAAAAAAATTTCTTTCGAAGCTTGAGCTTAATCAATGGAATAATTGCAGCCATTCAACTTCACATCCAATGGTCAAGATTAATGTGACCATGTTGTACCAAAGGTAAATGGTCTCATCCTATACTTTTCCAAAGGTTTATATAAGGTTGCAACCTTAAAATGTAGAACTAAAGATGTACCTAAAAAATCCATCGAAAAATATTGTTTTAATGTTAAAAACCCTCTAATTGATCATCTTGACATTGAGATGTATGAATATGAAAAGAAAAAAGATTTTGAGTTCCAAAAATAGCGCATCTTGCAACATATTTTCTAGACTGTCCATGTTTATTATTTTTATATATTTATAGATCTATTGGATTTCAACCATTTTTGAAGTTTAAAGTTTATTATTAAATATGAAAATAGATTTTCAGATAATCCTAATATTTTTTTACACTAAAATTACATAAAATTTGGAAGTGCGCCTTAATTGAATTGTTTAAAGATGGAACCTTGTAAAGACCACACCCTTTAGAAAATGTTTGATTCTATGCACTTGATCATTGCCATTTACTGAAAAAATATTTACTTCTTTGAGGTAGGCTCTAATTTGATTGTTTAGAGCCTAGGCTCTATATAAACTTTTCCCCATACCCTTATCAAAATGGTCTTTCACAGTTAATAGATGGTGATCACAAGTGTTTACAGGAGAGAGTCTAATGCGAATGAGTTTGTATGGTGATAGAGAGATATTACTGTAGATCTATCGGCGTTCTTTATTCATCCCCATCCACAGGATTAAACGATGATGACATATGACTAATCTATGGTCACATGACCATACTTCCAGAATACCTATTCTAACCTCGAGGAATTATCGATATGACAAAGACATCCTTCGCTTTTCGCTTTCTCTCTATATGTGGCCCACAGTCATGTGCACCGCCAATTCCGTTAAATGCTCTGCGCCATTTCCCTCCTTTTCTTATTTTCTCTCTCTACGACTTCCTGGTTTTTTTTCGTCTCCAACCTTCCTTTCTCTCTAGAAATCCCCTGTATCCTTTTTGTACCCTCTCTCACCCTCCATTTTCTCTCTCTATAGCACCCCAATTAACTTAAATCCCTCTTTCTCTCTCTAAAAAATCTCCGGTTTCTGCCTTCCTCTCTTCCCTTTTCTCTTGTATCAACCCTCATTAACCCAAATCCCTGTTCTTCTCTCTGCAATGCTCCCCTACTCTGCTCTCTCATTCTCTCTCTATCAACCCCAATAACCTAGATGCTCCATTAGAAGAAGAGATGGGCTCTCTACCCCAAGAATTCTCTGAGAGGCTCCAGCCCCAAACCATAAATTCAACGAAATTGCATCAACTCTTTGAAACCCAACGTAGAATCATCAATTACTTCTTTGAAAATCTCGATTTTTCGCAGGCCCGGAGCTTCTCAGAAGCTCTGTTAAATACCCATGGTACCATTTTCTTCACAGGCATTGGAAAATCTGGTTTTGTGGCCCAAAAAGTGGCTCAAACCCTGGTTTCTCTCGGTATAAGATCTGGGTTTTTATCAGCCACCGATGCTCTTCATGGTGATATAGGAATTATGGGTAAGGGAGATACTCTGGTTTTGTTCAGTAAGAGTGGGAACACAGAGGAGCTTTTGAGGTTGGTGCCCTGTGTAAAAGCAAAGGGGGTTTTTCTGATGGGGGCTTTCTCTAGCAAGGATTGCCTTCTCTCTAGAGAATGCGATTTGTGGGTTTATTTGCCTTTAGAGAGAGAATTATGTCCCTTTGATCTTGCGCCAGTGACCTCGACTGCAATTCAAATGGTTTTCGGAGATACCGTGGCCATTGCTTTGATGGGTGCAAAGAATTTGACCAGAGACGAGTATGCGGCAAATCACCCGGCCGGAAGGATTGGCAAATGCTTGATTTTTAAGGTAGCTCTCTCTCTTTCTCTGTGTGACTTCTTTTGGGCTATGATCTTGATCTGCGAATGTGGGTTGAGACCTGTATTTTGATAGTTGATGAAAGATGTGCATTGCTATTGATTTGTTTGCTCCTCTCTGTTTTCTTTGGTCCTTTCCTGTTGGAATTTAGCATTGGATTTAGTCAATTGAAATGCCTCTCTCTCTCTCTATCTGGATTGATGTGAGATCTGGATTTCTCTTTGGGTTGTTTAGGTGCTTTAATTTCCCTAGTTAGCTTTGTTACATCCTTTGATTATCATTTTTCTGTCTTTTCTATGAATTTGACAGTTGAGCAGTTGATATTGGCTATCTTGGGTTCATTTTAATTTTCTAAGGAAATTCTTATAAAAGATCAACAGTAGCTTTGGACTGGGATTTTCTGGAATGGTTGGTTAGGGCTTACACTAAGAAAAAGATTGATTCTATGGACCCCCTGCTCTTTTTTCTTTATTCTTATCTCTGTGCCTTCTATTGCTTTATGATGTAGAATATTAGTTCAGATCTTGAGTGTTCAAATATTTTCAGATTGGGAGCTGAAAATGATACGGTTGGTGATTAAAAAATCACGGACGCTCCTGACCAAAAATCCCCCGAATCACTTGAGCCTCCTGTTTTTCTAGTTTTTTTAAGAACTTTTTGGGTTAAATGTATAGGTTGGTGAGAATCGGGATGTGGAATTTGGAATCGGAACCCATGTGACTCGGAGCCAGATTCTGATCTTTGAAACGCTCCATATGTTTTGGTGCTTCAGCATTGGGAATATTACTTAAGATGTCGCATTTGCTAACGTCAACTTCTTACCATTCAAGCCCAAGCCTGGTTGCTTGAAATTTGAAACACTCTCTATATGGGTGTCCCATTTTACCCTTTTCTATGATTTTTGAATGTTCTATGATTTTCTAATGTTAAAGGCATGTTATGGATGTCACATTGATCTCTCTCTCTTCCAAATTCAGTCCATTACATTTTTGCCATTTCTGATGTCTACCTTTCTATCAATGGCCTTTGCCAGTCTTATAGGGCTTAGATTCAAAATTTCTTCATTGCTATGGCTGCAATTTCAGTTTCTGGTCTATTTTCTTTTCCCGTTTATTTGGCTTCATTTCTTAATTTTTCATAAGTTGGGTTCTTTTTGGGGGTTAATTTGAGAAATGGGTAGTAAACTGGTTTTTGAAGGTTAAGGATTTGATGAGGAAGCAAGAACAACTCCCCATTTGTAAAGAAGGAGACCTGATCATGGATCAGCTTGCTGAGCTAACGAGTAAAGGGTGCGGGTGTTTGTTGGTTGTTGACAATAAGCATAGACTGATCGGGACTTTCACCGATGGTGATCTTCGTCGAACCCTCAAGGCTAGCAAAGAAGGCACATTCCATCTCACTGTAGGAGAGGTTTGCAACAGGTAGTAAACCCACATATTTACTGTTGGTTGATTTGAGAGAGAGAGATATAGATGGCATTTGCAGAAAACTACAAGCCAATTTAGAGGGAACATGGATTCCCCACCAATCTTTGGAGAACATGGGGTATCCTATCAATCATGGAATTGAACATATTGAAAATCTCTCTCTCTCTCTCTCTCTCTCTCACTCATAAGATTCTTCACACACAATATTCTCAATCTAATATATAAAAAAAGTGTGTTTTATTTAGCTTGGGTTCTCGGAGAAATGAAAAGTTTCATATAAGGAAATGTAACTTTGAAAACTAACCTATCCAAAATGCTCAGGACTCATCCTAACCGGTTTGATTCCGGGAGCCTTGTTATTCAGGTCTAGAAAACCCCAAAACCATCTGATCTCCCAGTTTTTAAAAAGAAGAAACTTTCTTTTTCTTATTTTCTCTTCTTTTTTTTTTTTTGAAAGTTAACATTTTCTTATTTTCTCATTCAAACTCCCCTCTGACTTCCCTAAATCGACACCGCTTTCTGTTATATAAAGCACACCGTAATTCTTCTTTCTTTGCTCTTTTCTATTCTCAGGAGTCCAAGAACAATTGGACCCAATTCGATGGCAGTAGAGGCGATGCAAAAGATGGAAGCTCCTCCTTCTCCGGTTCAGTTCTTGCCTGTGGTCGACGATCAAAATGTGGTGATCGGAATCGTCACATTGCATGGATTGGTTTCTGCTGGGCTTTAATTTTCGTTCTTTGTTTCCTTCATTGAATTCCTTCAGTTTTCTTTGCTCCTTTTCTTTTTTTATTGATATTGTCGTATGATTTAACATCTTACCAAATTGTCAATTCATTCCTTGATAATCAACTGGTTGCTGGTGACCTTGAAACTGAAGTTTATGGACTGGAAATATGTATTTGATATATGAAATTCAAATTTAAAGGAACTATAAAAAAAATTAAAAAGTAGAGATGAGGGGGTTGTTTGTGAATTTTTTTCAATTATAAAGTCACCTTCAAAATTTATCAAAAGATGTAATTTTGGTATTGAAATCTTTAGGATGTACTATTCCTTTCCGCCTCTCAATAAAGAATTTAAAACTCTGAAATAATACAGACCGAACAAATCTATAAGTACTTGTAAATCTTGAAAACGAACCATCTAGTTATATCACAAGGTGCACTATTTTTAGGATTTGAAATATTTTTTTTGTTTATATTAGACATCTTTAGGTCAAGATCATCAGTTCATAGGGTTTTTCATTGTCGGTTTTCAATAGATTTTTGAGGTGTATTTTACTTCTATAGTATAAAATTGAGCTGCGAAATGATTTTTTTTATCAACAATCAAGGTAAATGATGAAAGATGCTTCTTTTTTTTGTTCTGATCTATAATAAAAACAATCAAGTTAAATGATGAAAGATGCTTCATTTTTTGTTCTGAACTATAATAAAAACAATCGAGATAAGTGATGAAAGATGCTTCATTTTTGGTTCTGATCTATAATCAAGATAAATGATGAAAGATGTTTCATTTTTTGTTCTGATCTATAATTAAAGTGTGCAGTTGGCATACGGATGCATCTGTAGCTGTAGAGGTAAGGTGCACCTTCATATTTTATCATGGTATATAATTTTGGTATAAAATGTTCTTAGGATTATCACAAAATCTATTTTTTTATTGAGTTATAAAATTTTAAATTTCAAAAATGGTTAAAATCAAGTAGATCTATGAACATATGAAAATCTTGAATATAGACGATGTAGATAATATGTCGTAAAATGCACTATTTTTTAGGCTTAAAATCTTTTTATTTTTCATGTTCATACATCTCGATGTCGAGATGATTAATCCAAGGGTTTTTCAACATTAAAACTACCTTTTTCGATGGATTTTTGAGGTGCGTCTGTAGTTCTACATTATAAGGTTGAATCCTTATATAAACTTTTTCCTTAAAACAATCAAGATAAATGACGAAAGATACTTAAAAAAAAAAAAAGAAGATAAATGATGATAGATGCTTCATTTTCAAGTACCAGAGATCTACATGCTCCTTACTAATTTCCCCAATAAAAATCATCATCAGGAGGATCTCATCCAAAATCACCTATAGCAAAGATCCACATGTTTCTTTCTTTTCTTTTATTCTTTTTTCCCTTCTTCCTTAATAAAAAACACATGTGGATTCCAACCAAATTCAAACTATCAACCCAGATAGGTTTTTTGACATTGAATTATACATTCTAGGGTACCTTTGGTTGGGGATTATTTGGAATCTAGAAGTTTTAATTCCTTAAATCTACAATTATTAATATTTAGAAGTTCTAGAATACTTATTTGATAACATATCTTAAAGTCATTGAATACAAAACTTAAGCTAAAAACTTTATAGTAATCTAACAAAAAGTGTCACAGAGATTTAATTTCACAAGAGAACACGAAGATGAAAGTGAGGAAAAAACAGTACAATTAGAGAGAGAAGTGACATGGTTAGAGAGATAATGGAGTTAGAGATAAAAATATTATGTTTATAGAGAGAAGAGAGTAAGAGCAAAAAAGGACAAAAGGTAGAGAGAGGAATTGGTGAAAGACAGGAGTTGAAGAGAGGAAGTGCATGATTCAAGTGGAGGAGTTAGAGCAAGGTCATAGTTAGAGAGAAACGAGTTAGGGAGAGAAAATGTATGATTGAAGAGAGAGAAAAGCCACGGTTAGAGAGAAAAAATATGGTTATAGAAATAGAGAAAAGATACGGTTATAGAAATATCTATAGAGACAGAGAGATAGAGAAGCATGGTTTTAGAGAGGAATTAGAGAGAGAAAGGTGCTTGAGAGAATGTGCACATTTAGAGAAAGAAAGTGCACATTTAAATAAAAAAAGCATGATTAAAGAGAGAAAAGAGTTAGAGAAGGTAAACATAAAAAGGACAAGGGAAGCAAAAAAAAGTTGAGAGACGAGCTTTCTAATAATAGGATGAGTAAGCTTTCATTGCGCGTTTGAAGTTGAGAGTTTTGCCTTGAAAAAAATACTAGGTGTTACTCCAAACTAACATCCATTCAAAATTTAAGCCTTTCAAATGTAATTTGTATTCGTATAGAAAGAAATAGTAAGTTTTTAATCCCACATTGATGAATGAGAAAGAGAAAATTATGATTAAATATAGAAATACCCCATTTTGTTATATACTAAGAATCAATAGGAGAAAAAGCCCATGCAGGTCACTCGTTGGCAATATTGTGTGTAATGGGTGGTAACTCACGTAGAGCAAGCAAGATAAATGTTCAAATTTCTATAGACAAATGTTCAAATTTCTATTTTCAGGCTATGAGATTTTGTTGTTCTCATCCATTAAAATAGAACATAAAATAGCACATTGATATATCCCTGAAGACATGACGATGTCTAAAATTTGTTTGCAAAACCATTAAGCAAATTGATTTTAGGTGCCCTTATTTCACCCACACCCAATATATCCAATAGGAAGCTGTAGGTTCCAATTTTTTGTAAACCCAGAACTTTGATGAGACCTAAGACTGATATGCAGAAATGGTCCCTCTTTGTGATTCGTTTTTTAGATGAAGTTTTGGGCTTTAATTGTTTAAGGCTTTAAGCATATATAATCTCTATCATGGAGATCATAAATATGAAAAAAATTAAAAGCTATTTTTCAAAGAAGATATTCAAACTTTGGTCTTACTTGGAAAGACTGCCATTTCAAATCCATCATTAAGATGGATGTGATGCCTAGGGGACACACAATGTGGGTATGCATTTAAGTCTTTACGAGAATGATCGTCTTTATAAGTTTCCATGCTCCACACTATTTTTTATGCTTTAAATTTTACAATTAGAGATAAAAATAGATATTTTCAGTTTCCCGCACAAGAGTTGCATCTTTTCGCTAGATTTACGAGTCCCTTAATTTTTTTAAGGCTGATGCCATTTATAAATCACACCCTTTACTTTTGGGTATGGTTTGCATACGGTTACAATCTCAAGCAATCAAATTAAAATGCCCTTCCAAACTTCATCATGAGAAATTTTGGTATCGGAAATGGTGTAATAATCTATTTTTATCTCTAATTATAAAAGTTTAAACTCCAACAATCGTATGAAAATCTTGAAAATAGACAACCTAAACAATGTCTCCCAAGATATATTATTTTCAAGACAACATCTATTTTTAGATATTTTTCTAATTTCAAAACAACCTTTTCAAATGATTTTAGAGGTGCACTTTAATTCTACATATTAAAGTGTGAACCTCATTTGAACCTTTTCCTTCATTTTTTACCCACTAATTTTAACCACATTGAAAAATGTCAACTCTTGCATCTCATAATTGTGTCCTTGAACAAACTTTTTTGATTAAAACGAAAAAAATTGATGATATATTAGAAGAAATGTATCCGATTACATCATTTTTTAACATGGAGTGGCTAAAGGCGGGCCATTAACTTAATACAAAGTCCAAAACAAAATTACTCGACCATGTGACACTCCAAGATGTTGGATTTCACACCTACTGGCAATTAATGATTGCAACTTCCATGCACCAAAATTACTCGAACATGTGACACTCCAAGATGTTGAATTTTACACCTCCTGGCAATCAATGATTACAACTTCCATGCACCAAAAGTGAATGGCCTTTCAGCTCATAATCCCTATGTTAAATTGTTATCTCACAGACTGCTGAGAGATATCCGCAGGTAAAACAAAAGCAAGTCATTTCCATAAGATCAGAAAAAGTTAATTCGTTTCAACAATAACGTCTTCAAAATTCCGATTTGCTCTTTATTTGGGTAAATGATGTTCAGATTTGCTCTAATGTGAGGAATCAACAAAGACCCCACATCCAATGACAAGAAAAGAAAATAATACAAAATAATACCAGCTAAAAGAATAAAAATGATTTATATTTTACATAACACCCAGGGAAGAGCGAAAGAACCCCAAAAACACCACAAAACAGAGAAAGAAAACCCCAAAAAAAGATGTAAAAACAACACTTTTACAGCAATATACATCCTCACCTCCATAATCAGTCAATTATACATGCAATGACAATGATACATTGACACATGAGGAGGACAAGATACATCAACACATGGTGGTCACTCATCAAGTTCTAGAACAGAGAGAGAAAGAGAGGAATAGCCGAAAAAGCACAACAAGCTGATGATCTTAATATCGGACAATTACAGAGAAGTAATTTTCTCAACACCATAGCAAATTTCACCTTTCATTACCATGCTGTCAATGCTAGACGACTTCGGAACCAAGCAATAATGCTTCCTATAGCAGAACCAAGGTAAATATTTCAGGCATGAAATATACATACTGTCCTAAGTGTACTCTAAAAATGGTTAGAGAATGAGAGTATAAAGAAGAGAATAATATGTAAAAAAGATGATTCCATCTCTTAATAGCACGCACGCGTGTCTGTGTGTGTGTGTGTGAGAGAGAGAGAGGGAGAGAGAGCATCAAAGAAAAATAAACCCATCTATAAGGACGCATCAATAAAGCATTCGTATGATAAATATAACTATACTGGCTAGGCCAGTATTCCAGCATTAGGCCAGATAAGATAACATTTATACATGGTGTTGCAGCCAATCAATAAGGAATTCGTCAAGCATCAACAAATTTCATAAATCAAAGCAGAAGTAGCTGACCTTAATAAACAGAAGTACCCAAGGATAGCCACCACGGTATAATTACAAGCCTTCCTGTGATAACTAGTTGTTTCCTATGATAATTGCCCCTTCACTACATTCCCCTCTCTCTGGTTCCTAAAATGGCTGAGAAGCTGTTGTGCCTGCACAGATTATACAATCGGTTAATTAAATATCTGTCAAGCAAAGTAACATTTCCATTTCGAAGTTCCAACATTGCATCAAATAACCATTCTTTAAGAAACGATGAAATGTTAAATACAAACCATACCAAGTAATACGCATAACCATAAGAAATATCACAATGAACATAGTAACCCTATATAACTTGGAATGATTTTGTTATCACACTAGACGTACTAATCAATCTGATTCAGCCAGAGTGACTCCTTATCACACCACACAGTAATAATCCAAAATAACCAGAGAGATTTTCTACGACACTAAATGTACTAATTAAACCAATTTAACCTGAATTATTTACTATCACGCCAGGTGCACTAATTATCTAATATAATCAGAGATTTGATACCTTCTCTTTTGCTCTAGGTGTGCCTGACTGCGACAATGCAACTAATGGCGGAACAGCTCCTTCTTGTAATACCAAAGTGCAATATCTATTACTATTCATACACAACAGCAACAAAGTAGAGGCCGCATTCTCTTTTCCCCTTTGAGACCCAAGCTCAACAACCTCTACAAGAGCAGGAATCCCTCCTTCCTCTGCAATAGCAGAACGACCCTCAGGAATGGTTGCCAAATTGGACAAAACAGCCACTGATTTATCAACCATTCCCCCAGTAAGATCCATTAGCCAAATAAGGCACTTCACTGCACCAGCTTTAACTATTCTGGCCTTGTTTTCATGGAAAATGGATAGATTGAACAAAGCAGTGGCAGCATCTTTCTTCCCTCTAAGAGTCCCTGAATTTAGCAATTCAACCAAGGATTGGATTGCACCTGAACGACCAATCTTGACCTTGTATTCTTCGATGACAGACAGGCTAAATAAAGTGGCAGCAGAGTTCTCTTTGGCTTCAGAAGTCCCTGAATTAAGGACTTCTATAAGTGAGTCTATGGCCCCTGAATCCACTATTAACCTCTTGTTCTTCTCATTGATTGACAAATTTAACAAAGCTGTAACAGCATTCTCTTGGGTCTTCTCATCTTGAGATCTTAGCAAGGAAACCAAGGGAGGAATGGCTCCACATTCAGCAATTAAGACCCGGTTCTCCATTTCGTGCTTTGCAAGGAGCCTAAGCTCAGCTGCGGCTTCCTTTTGAACTTGGCTCGATTGACTCCCTAAGCTTTCAACCAGTTTCCTAACTTGGTTACCCATTGTTGAGCCAACAGTTGATGGGTTCATGAGATTCTTATTTTCAGACTCTGGATTCCAAAGACTTGGGTCTCTAGAGCCATGTGAGAGACTTGAAGAAAAACTCAAATTTCTATCAGGTTGAGTAACATGACTGTTGTTTTCAGACTGCAGTGTCCAATGATTTGGGTTTCTAGAGCCAGGAAAAAGCTTTAGAGAAAAACCCAAATCTCTATCTTTTTGGTGATTGATTTCAGATAAACCTGAATATCTACCAGTTTGAGTAGCATGATTATCTGAGCCCTCTTCTCCAAAAATTTCAATGCTATAACACTTACTTGATACCCTTGAAACTTCAACAATCTCTCCTTCTCCAGATCCATGCATGTAATCAACACTCGAGACAGCACTTGAGATTGATTCATTCCGGCTATGGTCGGTAGATTGTTCTGGAGAATGAGAATCCTTAGAAGCCACCTTATCCAATGTCACCTGATGGCAGGTGCCTTGAAGGACAGTTTTATCTTCAAACTTGACATCGATCTCCCCAAAGCTTCTTAGTAAAGCATCAACTGCCTGTTTCCTGGACCCAGTGTCAACTTCATGAGAGTGCTTTGAAGCCAAATCTCTAAGAGAAAAACCATCAAAGCCTCCAACAAGAGAAATTTTCTCAAGACCCACAAATTCATTTGATTCAGGCATGTGCCCATTTATTTTGTTATTGGTGTAACCTGGGAATCGACAATCTTTGACCTTGGAGCTTGGCGATACTGAATAAGCTAAGGCCTTGTCAGAAATAATGGGTTTTATGGGATCTTGCAGCCTTTTATTGTTTACCTCACACCAGTTGGAAATCAGGGCTTTGACTGTATAATTTGGAATAAGATTGGTATGGTTAAGAGTTTGGCGAGTTTTGGGACAGATGTCCATTCCCTCATCAAGCCACTTTTGGATGAAGGCTCTCTCAAATGTTTGACCAGATGCCACAATTACGGGGTCCGACATAAGCTCAAGAGACAAAGGGCAGCAAAAATATGAAGGGGGCATACCATCTTCGTTCTCTGATTGTTTGATATTGAATAGGCACTCTCTCATATGAGCAAGCAAAATGATAATTTGATTGATAAAATCCTCAGCGCCTTTCTTTTTCCCAGACTCAATCTTCATTCTTTCCCTTTCCAAGGCTACACTCTCAATCAGGAGCTCCTGATTTGATGTTAAATTTAATGACTCCATGATATTTACAAGACATTCTGAATGAGGTATGAGATTCTCCTTTTGATCTCTAAGAGCTGCTTCAATGGCTTCGGTTCTTCTCTCATATTCCAGGCACTTGAGCTCCTGCCTACAGTGCTGAAACAATGGATGTCAAAATTAGCTTACATACCCCCAAGACCAGGATAAATGAGAAACCAAAACATCCAATGGCTGCTAGTGAGAAGTGAGAAACCAAATCAAACAATGGCAAGAAATGAAGCACTCATGAATAAATATTATTAAATTTTGGTTCAACATTTGAGGATTTAGAGCGGTTCCTAAAGAGGTATCAGATTGAAACTCGGACTGAATATCACAACATAAAAATCATAGTAATTACTTGGAAAACAGGATAATACTCAACTTTTGCCAAGTATGGACCAAATTCCAACAGAAAAATGACATATTTATCATTTTAGGGGAAAAAAACACATGTTTCTGATATCATCCGGTTTCTAGTCAAGTTGGTGGAATAGATGCAATATGGCTGTCCATTCTTACACCTATTTCAGAGTCCAATATAAGCCAAACTGTATCCAGAAAGAAATATATAAAAAATTCTACAAAAGCTTCAGATGGTGGCTTTTAGTAAAACAAAAACCAAAAAGGGGAAGGTTCTGGGCACATTTTCATCACCTGAATGTGTGTCATATGCGAAGGAATGAGACATGATTGGAGATATGTTTCCTGCATGTTACATATTTCCAGTGAAGACTTCTGTATTTTCACTAGCATCAGCTCACTTTGTATAACCTAAGGACAGAAATGATTGCATTAGTCATCAGAAGTTGCCATAAGTTGGGGATTTTAAACACCTCAGCTTTGACATATGCTGTGGATTTGTGTCATTTTTCACATTTTCTACTTGAAAAGCACGAAGACAGATGAGAAGGCAATGACTGTTAAAAGAGAAGAAAAAGGCACAGCTCAGAAGAAGATAAACACAAATAAGCATAAACACGTACGATAATTTTGTGGTCAGAAAGTAAGCACCCAAAAAGGAACATAAATGGAAAGTCCCATGATCGGAACAATGATATCATAGAAATCTATCATAAACACAGAAAAGAAATATCTTAATGCATGGGGTTCTATTGATTGATTAACTTACTCTTTCCAGAAATTCTAATGAATTATATTGATCACACCTGATTATGCATGCAAAATATAGAACTGTGGCTCAAAAAATGGTTTATGCCACAATATTACAATGACATGTGCAAATATTTCAATAGCAAAAATATAATGTGCAAATACTTTCTGTTAATTATATGCATCATCATTTCATTTATTTTTTCACAAGTATCGCCATTTTATATTTATTTACACAAAGAAAAAGAAACCATGTGAGATCTCTTCCTTATCTTTTCAATTCAACAATAAAAGAAAGCACAGCTAGGTCATGCCGAAAAAATAAGTTATATACCAATAGACCATGGGGAACCATAGCGCATGGAGGCCATCACCCCATTGCAGTATGGCTTTGAATGGTCCATTTGATAATAATATAAGTTATGTCAGCCAAAAACAGACTAATATCCCAAACTAACTAGATGAAGAAGAAAACTCATAAGAATTTGAACATAAACAGGATTCATATACAAGCAACCAATGCATAAGAAACATACTGTACATAGCTTGCTCTTCTTTGGGTGCCAGCTCTCTAAAAATTCCCTAGCCTCATTAACAAGCACATCCAAGTCCTCCAGTACTCTAAGAAGTGCTTCCTCTGAATGTTTGTCAAAATCAAGAGCTTCATCAAGCACAGTCTTCAAAAGCTTCAATAAATTGGCAATATTTCTGAAGTCCTTCTGAATGGGTTCATATTTCATCGTTTGGCATGCAACTAAGTGAATGAAGCGGGCTATACTATTCAGCAAGGCTCCTAACGTTGTTTCGCAACCCATCATATCTGTTCCACAAGAAACATCATGTGTGTGTATGTGTGTGTGAGAGAGAAAGAGAGAGAGAGAGAGAGAAACGTCCAGATCTAAAAAAAGATGGGGAAAAACAGCATTAGCACTTATGCCTATTTTTAGAAGAGACAAGCACCATAGGCCATTCAAATAGATAAAAATTTTCATTTTCGTTTCCCATAATGACCAAGAGATAATCCATAAATCAGGACGTATATGGAGCCCAAATCGGAATCACAAGTCAATGGTTCTGTATTCCATTATTAAACAACTATCAAAATCACCATCATCAGTTAAGAAATTTTGGAAGATACAAACTTGAATTGGCAATAACCACCAAAGAGAGAACTAAAAGCTCATAAACCAAGTGAAGGGCTAGCAACCCAACATCATTAGATGATTCTCAAATTTACAGATAAAATTCAAATGATACGGTCCACCGACTTGACCAAAAACATAGAACACTTTTGAACACCCAAATCGGATTCTGCAAACTCTTTCCTGAAATGTGTAATTTTAGTGAAATACAAGCCCAAACCTTCTGCTCCACACAAAGACACCAAATTTATTAAAAACATATGAATACACAAGACCCCAGTTTTAAGCAACATAAGTCATTCACAAATATTAATATCAATATAACAGTACTAATTCCTTCTTCTTTTTTTTGTGTGTGAGTTCTTGGGTTTAATCTATCCAAACAAACACATAACAAATAAGTACTCTTCCAAGATCTAGTACATGAAAACCAGAAAACATTATTTTTATCTTCTGATCAATCAACATAAAAAGAAATCCAAAAAGCATGATTAAATGACACCGATTAAGCAACCAAAATCTAATCTTCTTCACTTGCTTAATCAAGAAGAAAAAAATCCTACCTTGCGCTTCTTAACATCCACACAAACACAATAAAAACCACAATAACCCACAGAACCCAACTCCCAACACAACAATTAAGTGACAAGAATCAAAGAAAGGATAAAAAAGGCAAGCCCCAAGGGCCCCAACTTTCATTTCCTTCTTTGTTATCCACACAAACACATAGTAAATGAATAGCAAAAAAAAAAAAACCAAGTTTCATGACAGAACAAGATGATCAGAGTTCAGAAGTCTTCATACCTTTTGGTGTATGAAGACTATGAATTTGAGCACCAACAGATAGAGATAAGACCAGTTTACCAGTGCTTTTACAGTGCCAATCATTTGAATTGGCCGCTCAGCACAAGTCAGAGCTTCTTTAAAAACCCCTGAAAACCCTAATTTTGGGTTCTCCTGGTTTTCTCATTCATGGTTCCAAGAGAGAGAAACACACCTATAATAGTAGAGAGAGAGAGAGAGATGGGTAACATATGCATGGAATTAAGAAATAAAGAAATCAGTGACATTCTTGGTTTCTGTATTGCTTTTGGATGGGTCAAAAGGATTAGGAAAAAAAGTGGTTGATCAAACAAACTCAGGCTTTTACATTTATGAAATGAAATGCTGGTTGGTTACAAAAAAAATTATAATTGTATCTCAAATTTCCAGATTACCCCCATAAGAGGATACCATGTAAAGTGCCCCACTAAATAAAGATGCATTTAAGATACCAAAATCTCCTATAATAGACTAAAGAGATATATTTGTCCTTAACTATGTAATTTGAGATTGAAAAACAAGCATTTAATCAACAAATCTATAAATATTTAAAAATCTTGAAGATGGATAATTCAGACAATGTGTTATAGATGCACTATTTTTAGATTTAAAATCGTTTTTTCCCTCATATATTTATGTATTTTGAAGTCGAGATGATCGGTTGGAAGAACAACTATCTTTTTGGAGGTTTTTAAGGTGCACCTCAATTTTGTAGTATAAAAGTAGTATATGCTAAATGGATACGTATTGTATGAACTTTTTTCTCAAATCATTAGTATTGTGCTAACACCCTATTGACCATGGAGAAGTACAGTATGTTGGATTAGCACTGTACAATTGAGAAACTGATGATGATGGAGAGAGATTGGGCCGATCAGGACATCATATGTCCCCATGTCGGTGGGGCATGTTATCTCTCCATCAGTGTGCATTCATTGTTCCTATGGTACTGAACCAAATTACAAAGTTTATGGGGTTAAGATATAATTTTTATATTTACTTGACATGATTTTAAATATAATTTTTATATTTACTTGACATGATTTTAAATGATAAAACTTGGTTATGAGCTTGTTAAGTGTGGATTAAGGAGACTTTAAAAAAATGGAGGAGAATAATAATTTGTCTATATTATCAAAATTAGACAAGAATCGAACTTCACCAAAAATGTGCTCAAAATTATTTCATTCAATCCAATTTTTTGTAATTGTCTTTTCCGATAATGGCTCCATAATTCCCCATATTATGAATAGAAGCAATATAGATGTCAATCCAGAGTTTAAAAACTCGGACTTAGGCTCTGACCTGCCGGCCGCAAGCCCGAGCCATCATTGATTCTGACATTTTAAGAGGATAGTTGTTTTATGTTTGATTTGGCCAATTCTTGACAGGGATCAGGAGACTTGCTAAATTTTTGTGCATCTACCTCTGAAAAAAATTAGGGTTCTAATCCAAACTGACTCTGGTGATTTCCAAATTCAGTTTTTATTTCAGTTTGGTTCTGATCCATATCGACTCTGGTGATTACCAAATTCAATTTTATTCCAATTTAACTATAGTGATTCTCGAATCGAATCGACAAGTTTTTAATCATTGCTTCAATCCACTATACTTTCATTCTTCAATAAATAAATAAATAAGGCATTGCATTTCAAAGTTCAAACCCAAGCTCCTTTTGCAAAGTGGCCATATCGAGCTACAAGGGCATTTTAGTCATGTCACCAATAAACCATATTTTTTTTTTTGGAGGAATCTCTTTAGGAAAAACCAGATCTCCCATGCTTTGAATAGTGATAGTAATAACACAAGGCACCCTTTTGAGAAATATTCGAGAGGCCTTGGTGGAAAGCCCTCTCCCTTCATCTAATGCTTAAAACGACCGACAAATGTGACCATCTTTTGACCCCACGCCCACACACATTACCCATGCTTCCAAATTTCATCAGGATTCTCTCTCTAGAATGCATGTTCCAAAATTTTCAAGATTCTCTCTCTAAAATACATCTCACGTAACGGAAAAAGAAGACCATGCTCTTTTTAAACTAGTGGACGAGATCCTCATGCCGACTCCCCCCTCCCTCTCTAGTGGTGGCAACGGATCTTGGCGGGTCCCGGTCAGACCCGGATTCGGACCCGAAAAGATAATATGGGACTTGGATCTGACTGGACCCGAATTCTCAAACCAAAATTAGGACCCATCAAGTCTAATTTTTGGACCCATATTCAGGTCTGGATTTGAGTCTACCCCTCGGGTCCCAAGTCGGGTCCAGGTCCATTGCCACCCTACGCTCTCGCCCTCTTTCTAAATATGTAAGTGGACTTCACCCAAAATCTCTCTCTTGATTACTTCATTCTCATCAGGTATATGCTGGTTGTCAGTCGGGTCCGATCAACCGGACCTAATAGGTCCACTTAGCATATGTTTGGGTTTGAATTCACTTTTTAGACCTTGTAGGTTGAGTCCAGGTCTATAGGTATAGCCCTTAGAGTTGCGTCGGGTAAGGTTATAACCTTATACTGTATAAATAAGATGGACCTAAAAATTCAGCAAAAAAGAGTGTGCTTGAGTTGGAAAATGTTCAAATTGATTATTTCGACCTCAAGATATATCGTTCTGAAGAAAAGAATTTCAAATTCTTAAAATAGTACATCATGTAACAAGTTATTTGGATCGTTTATTTTCAAGTGTTTATAGATTTGCTCAATCAGCATCATTAAAATTTTATATTTAGGATTAAATATGGATTTTCAAGTTATTATAAAGTTTTTAACATCGAAACTACATTTTTCAATAAAATTTAAAAATATGCCTTACTACTTACAAGGTGGGCACTTTGTACAAAACCTCACCTTCATATATTTTAAATTATTCTATATTATGACCCAGTTGGGTTAGGGTCTAGTCCAACCTAAATAATCCGAGTCGGGACCTTTAGAGTTGTCGGGTCAGGTCTGGATCAAGCCTGTCCTGCTCCTAAACCTCATGCAGGCTCCTAAAAGCTCTCACTCTCATAGTAGCTTTTAAGATCTCCCTCCGGCTTGCTCCTAAACACACACATATATACACACACTCTCTCTATCTCTCTCTCTCTCCATAAAGTCAAATTGAGAGAATGTTAGAAGTTATGTCCTGTCCATATATTAAATAGATTGTCGAATTGATGTTCTAAGTTAGCAGTTATGACCCGGAAATGGATAGCAATTGTATAATGCCTGATAAGGCAACATTTTCGTAATTCGTGCCCCCGCCCTCTCTCTTTGAAAAAATTTAGACTCTCTGGATTTGTGTGGCCATATTAATTTTCTTTTGTATCGTTCTAATTTTATCAAGAAAAAACGTTTATATAGAGCCAAGGCTCTAAACAATCAAATTAGAGCCCATATCAAAAATTTCACTAGAAGAGGTTGTTTTGATGCCCAAATATCCTCCAATTGATCATCTCGACATTAAGATGCGTTGACATGAAAAAAAAAAAAGGTTTCAAGTTTTGGAAATAGTACACCTTGTAAGGTATTTTTGGACCCTCAATTTTTAAGATTTTCTAAATTTCATAGATTTGTTCAATCTATACTATTTTTGAAACTTTAAATTTTATAATTAAAGTTGAAAATATATTTTAAAGTTATCACAACAATTTCCGATATTGAACCACATTTCTCAGCACTATTTGAAAGTGCCTTCACTTTGATTGCTTAGAGTCTCGGCTCCATACATTCTGTAAAAATATTGCAAATATATCGGACTAGGCTCAAAAAATCGGAGTGAAAAAAACGGGCATGTTTAAAATAAAATTAAGTAGAAATTAAAATAAAAATGAAGTAGAAATAAAAAAATAAAATGGTAAGTTGCTGATAAATATACCCTATGAATTTTCTCATTAAATGCTTTAACAAACATCACACATACTTAGTACATAATACAAAAAAAAAAAAAACAAATGTGAGATAAGTAGAATTTAGTTGGATATATTCATTTTTCTCTCTGTATGGTGACCGTCCCTTTATAACCATAGTTAAGCAATAGG